CATTACACGTTAATACAAACCCAAAAAAAAAGAAAAAAAAAGGGGAAAACTACGTGAGTCACCCCCCCGCCACCACCAAAAAAAAAACAAGGCCTCTTCTTCCAGGATGACGACAACACATAGCGAAAAAAAGACAATTCCACTTCGCGTCCAACGTTTTTCAAAAAACGATAGACATTTAGCCACAGTCCAAATGCACTACGTCGAAGAGCACAGGCAGATGCGGACACTATATTAAGTAATCTGCTCGCGCAAGCCTTGAAGACATCGGAGGTAAGACAGATTGCGTGAGACAGGCAGAGTGAGAACCGCAAACTTAAGCCTAACGATCAGCATGATGTCCATCCTGACTGATAGACAGACACACTGAGAGGAACGGCCCGCTGGATACACACAGCGACAGACAGAAAAAGACGACGTCGACGACTCCGACACACTGAGAGACAGTCGGACGCGGCAGCGGTGGGCAACAACACAACACAACACAAGACTTAGTCCTCAAGAAAGAATCGAGAACATAAACTTTGTCCTCCTTCACGCTCTTAAATGAAACAATCCATGGAATCCTTGATGCATCAAATCTTCTACTCTATACTGTGATACGGCTTGAGGACATGCACTAATTCGAGCGGCAATTAGCAGAAAAAAAGCGCGGCAATTAGCAGACCGCGCAGTTCTCGCGAGCGATCGGATGTTCAACCATCGGAATTTTTGGAACCGGGACGACGAAGAGGGAAAGACCCTTTTTGGGACAGAACGACACGGCCGTTGGAAGCTTCTGAAAATCGCTGGACACCAGGGCGACGTCGTTGCCTTTCCCGCCCTTTGCTGTGTTCCCACCTCCGGCGATGGAGGTGCGACAGATGCGCGCTTCCAGATACGAGCCCACTGCCAGCGCGCCGCCGGGGCCACCCTTCGCCACGTTCTTCGTGAACTTGCATCCCGAGATGAGCACCTTCATCCTCTCAGGGTACGGCGCGTATAACCCCTCGATGAAGATGCCGCCGCCACTCTTTCCAGCCGTGTTCGAGTCCAGGGTCACGTGATCGAAGACGTAGCTGTCCGCCCGTGCGTCAATCAACACGGCTCCACCATTCCCTCCCGCCCTGTTGGACCTGAACGTGGTACCGACCACTTTCCCACTGCCGGAAGTGGAGAGGACAAGGGCGGAGCCGTCGTTGTTCTCGAAATGGCAATCTCCGATGTGCCACACGTTCCAGCCATTGGCGACCGTGACTGCGGTGCCTCTGTTTCCCGTCAAGACGACACGTGTCAGTCTTAGGTCGGTCTTGGAGCTGACAGCCCCTTCGCCAGCATTGCGCAAGATCAAGTCTTTGATAGTCAGTTTCCGTCCGTACGACGAGAAAATGCCGTACTTGCCCGCACCGTCAACGACGCATTTGCGACTACCGCACGCTCCCTTGATAACGATAGAATGGCTACCGGACATGTACGGCAGTGCTTGCGTGAGTACGATGTCCTCAGTGATGGTCACCACAATGGGACCCTTCGCCGTGAGGGTCGAGTTCAAGGCGGACGCCAGCCGCTGTTCAGCCGTGGCATGGCCAGCAGACGCCATCTGGCAGCCATAGCCGAGAGCTAGAAGAACGACCGCCACTTGGACTGCGGCAAACAGCGCGAATCGCTGTGCTGGAGCCGCTAGCCTTCGTCTGGCCATCACGACCAAGCAAGAGCCAGCAAGGGAGGGAGGGAGGGAGGGAGGGAGGGAGTGGAGCGGTATCCCTCCGGCCCAGCAGTGAGGCCGGACCAGTTTCAGGCCGCTGGCCTGACCCTGGTCCGGTACCAGGTTATTCCGCTACTGGACCCAGGCCGGTATATCA